CCCTATACCCTTTCTCCCAGTTTTGGCTGTTCTATAATAAAGCATTGAAAAAGCACTAATTCATTGTTTGTATCCCACAACCTAGCTAAGGATCCATCCCTGAGAGTGAAATGTCAGCCCTCCCTGCCTCTGGGGTTCACTACATGCCTTTGGGGTCAGGAGGCCGTGCCCTAAGATATGCACATGGGCATGGCTCACAGCATAGAGTTATGTTGACTCGTATGTCTGCGTATAGGAGTGTGCTTGCTAATACGTGTGCGCAGGAGCAACAATGATCGTGCACATGCATACTGCCTTTGGCTCCCAGAGGCCTATTTTAATGTGGGCACCAATGAGGAGAGATGCTGAGTGGTGGTCACCTCGTGATTTTTGAGACATGACCTTTGCTTTGTCCCAGCTTGCTGACTTCACTGTATCCTGATTCCTGGCTGTTGATCATGGCTTCTACCCTGACATCGCCCTTTCCAGACAGCCTGCTCACACCTCACTGTATCTGGGCCTGCTATAGGCACCTGTGCCACTCTGTGGGGGTGCTGGACAGGAGGTGTAAGAGAAGCCCTCACATCACTTGGCCTCCACCAGGTATGTGACAGTGCTGACTATTCCACAATATCCGCTTAATGTAGATCAACATAGTGATGACTTGGACAGCCCAACCCTGCATATGTGTACAATGTATACAATCTCTGTATGCTTACTAATCACTGATAAAAATGTACAAGTAGGGGGAAAAGGAGAAACCACAACACCAGAGAAGAGAGATGACCAGTGAAGAATAAAGCCTGAGAAGGAAAAACAAAGAAGAAACATCAAACATAGTAGCACCACTTACTGTCCATCTTCTGCCCTGCAATGTTAATTGTAATAAATAGTCTGTGTAATCACATAGTCATCTATATCTTTTCACTGTGATAGTAATTGTTTGCATGTGTCTGAGGCAGTAAAGTTGATCTACACTGCCCATGTATCTCCTGTTTTGTTGGAGGTGATCCCGAGCCCAGATTCGGGCTTGCAAGCTGACTGCTTGTCATAGCTTATTGTACAACATTCCACTGTTTTACTACATTAAATGCAATTCAATCATTAACTAAACCCATTTTCTGTGTATGCAGAGATGACTGTGAAAGTTGTTTTGTGTAATGTTAATGATTGTGAATGTCCAAATAAAACAAATTAGGGCTAATTAATTAAATCATGTGAGTGATATTTCCAACTCCTGAAAGGGAAAATAATTATTTCATTAGTCATAGCTTACAGAGAATGTGTAGCCAAACTGCTTTTATGTGGAAAATATTATTGTGTGTGCATCTATTTATGTATCTTCTATAGAGCCTTTAAAACTGTAAATTATGAATGATAGAAATTGTTGTACTTAAAGGAGAACTATGAGGTGAGTGATTTATACTTATCCTCATAGTTAGAGCCGACGTGTGACATTGAAACTGTCACACGTCGGCTCTATTGTTAGGAGAGTGAACAAACACATATCGTCGCTCGCTCACCTCCTGATCATCTCCCTGCAGAGAGCGGTGACTGTCAATCACCGCTTCCCGCAGGGATTCCCCCCTCCCCGATCTTCCAGCGCTGACTGGAGGAACGGATGGGGGAGGGGGCAGGCACGCGACACCCGGCTTCCTGATTGGCCGGGAAGCCGGCTCCATGCTCATGAGGTGACGAGGGAGCTTGAAGACGGCTTCCCGGCCAATCAGGAAGCCGGGTGTCGCGTCATTACACGGCGCCCGGCTTCCTGATTGGTCAGCTTCTCGTCACTAGTGAAGAGGGACGGCCAATCAGGAAGGTGGGCAGCGTGTAATGACACCCTCCCCGGCTTCCTGATACAGGAAGTGTCGGGCTTGGTATCAGAGCATTTGAGTGAGTACGAGTACTCACCCAAATACTCGGCATCGGCACCGATACCGATACTAGTATCGGTATTGGTGCATCCCTGGAATATTGGGGTCCGTAGTACCAAATCGGATATAGTTAAATTTTATTTCAAGGTATGAAATTTGGCAAGCGGCCCCCATGGGAGAAAAAAAATTGTCGAGTGGCCCCCTAGAGAATTGAGTTTGAGACCCCTGGTATATGTCCTCTCGTGACCCTAAAGAGAACTATGGGGAAAAACACTTACCCCAAAGCTCTCTTGTAAAGAATACAGTAATACCTTGGTTTACAAGTAACTTGGTTTGAGAGCGTTTTGCAAGACAAGCAAACATTTCTGAAAAATTTTGCTTTGATATACAAGCAATGTCTTGCAAAAAGAGCAAAATTTTGTAGAAAAGCACCACCCGAATAAGGCTGTAGCAGTGCGAGCGATGAGTCTGTTTAACGACAATGCAATGTCACATTGGATAGATTCCTTGTTAAGGTTTCACGAAATGAAAAAGATTCCATTGAGTCAAGAGATAGCAGTGATTCCGTTAGTGATAGTGAAAGTCGTCCTACACAATAATCCTTCTCTCTCTCGTCCCCCTCACACCAACCACAAAGGTATGGGTAATTGGTTTATTTGTCTTTATATTTTGTACAGTATTATATTACAGTACAGTATTGTAATCATTTGTATATGAATATTTTTGGGTTGTGGAACGAATCATCTGAATTTCCATTATTTCCTATGGGGAAGTTCGCTTTGATATACAAGCGCTTTGGATTACAAGCATGCTGCCGGAACGAATTATGCTCGTAAACCAAGGTTTCACTGTAACTTTATTTCAGTACACATATCCTTTAAATACCCCTCTTTCCTCAGCATCCCCCCAAGCCTTACACTTACCCATCCCTGCTCCTCTGAGATCTTTACTCTGTGATCCTCTTCTCATTAAGTTTTGAAGTCAGCCTCTTCTTTCACATGTGAATGGAAGAATCTCCATTTATTACTATGGAAAGCCCGTTCACAGAGACAAGCAAAAGACTGCCTTTCCATAGCAATAAACGGTGATTCTTCTGTGGATGCAAGAGCTAGACATGTTTTGGATAAGAAGATTTGCAGCTCTTAGCAGACCACACAGTGGGGACAGGTAAGTGTAAAACTTGGGTTAACAATTAAAGTTACACATTATAAAGTTGGTATTATAAAAGTATAACTGTGCAACTGGAAAATCTTTCCAGCCAGCCAGTATACCCTTCCACCCATAGATGCATGCCTTGAACTGCATGCATATCAATAGAAGACCAGTCTACAGCTTGCTGTACTACTTGTTTATAAGCCCTCTGTCAATGCAGTCAATGATGTGATGGGCACAGTGATGACTAGCTAGGTAATGATTAATATAACCACCATATTTATGTGCTTGTTATAGACTTTTGCATAAGCAATCTGCTCTGTTGCTGTCTGTTGTAATGAAATGGCACAGTTTTCAGTGGGGGCATAGGGGGTTGATTAACTAAAGGCAAATAGACTGTTTACTTTGCCAGGGAATTTGCAGTTTGCAAGGGAAGTTTCCCTTAGTTTAGTGAGTGAGGTGAAGCTCTGCTGACTTCCATCATCCAATCTTGTGCAAGCAAAAATACTGTTTCTTTTTAAAAATTTCCTGGCATGAGATTGGGTTTTCTTTGCAAAGTTAATTTTTACCACATTCACTAAGTTAAGAAAAGCATTGTCACGTCTACTGCGGGTGATAGCAGTGGAGCTCAACTGCGGAGGGAGTATGGTGGCGTTTCTGAATACTTGGCTTCTCAGGCGTGAGTCTCAGGCGTCACTCCCAGTCTTAAGGGGGAGTTTGAGACTCTTGCATCATAGCCAGTGATAAACAAAAATATTAGATGGGCTATTTCCTCATAGCACCACCAACGTTTTGGTATAGGGGTCCAGGGTGTACTTGTATCTCGCTGATGTAGTATGAGTCTACTGGTGTCCCAATAAGCAATAGGTTCTCCCCACAAACATGTAACAGTTGTAAAGATCAGCACACTCTTGGATAGCTATGAGAGCTGACTGTTTGTAATAGGCTCCAAGTGGAGCTATACTTGCTGTTTTGAGCAGTTGCAGAGCAGCGTAGTACAGGGTGTGGGTCCGGGTGGATGGTGGTCCGTCACGTGGAGAGTTGCGGTCCAGTGATGAGGGGTTCAGGAGGCAGCAGGCGTTCTGACTCCAATTGTTGAACGCCATGCTGCCTCGGCTGGGGCTTTAAATAGCCCCAGGATGTGGGAGGAGCCGCCGGCCGGAACAAGCGACTTCTGCGTTCCACCGTGGAACACAAGCCGCTCGCCTCACAATCAGGAAGTCGAGCGGCTTCCGCGTTCCACAGTGGAACGCGAAGCGGCCGTCATGGAAGCCGGCAGGACCGAGGCGGTCTGGCCTCTGAGGGGAATCGTCACAAGCATCCCCTGAAAAGTAAACATTCCCTTGCAAAGTGAACAGCCTATTTGCCTTTAGTAAATCAACCCTATAGCATCACCAAAGAACCTTTTCATGACTTGGCAGTGAGGAAGAATCATCCTTATCCTGCCAAGGGAAGCGATAATGTAATTTCTATTTTTATAAACAACTAGGTGTAATTCATGGTGAGTTTCTCCTTGATCACTCATTTTTGGTAGCATGCCAGATAAAACAAAAACACTTAAAAATAGTATTTATGTATGTATATGTAATGATCAATCAGTTTTAGTAATGTTAAAAGACATACACATAGTTATTATCAAGATACAGTGTATACCCTTTTACAAGTTATTTTTCTCATATTCCTGTTGACGGACTGTGACTAATATAAAGCTGTGACAAATGTGTGACCAGAGGGATATGGAAATCATTAGAGACCTTTCTTCTCAGTTCTAATGAATTGTTGGATAATAAAGTGGTAGAGTGTATAGAATTTCCTGGAACTGCCCCCATATATTTATTCATATATATAGGGAGTGAAAAGTAACAGTAGACAATGGAAGAAAAGGAGTGCACTGTAATAGAGTATAGGGAGGTGAGATAGATATAGATATATAGATAGATAGATAGATAGATAGATAGATAGATAGATAGATAGATGGACAATTTAACTGGTACCATGAGTATTTCTTTGCTGTGTGCGATCATCTGGAATATTATCTTTTACGGTAAGAAATGCTAAATGTGCTTTTTATTACCATATTTAAATGTGATTGAATAGGCATTATGCATGATAACTTAACACATCTGCATATTTTGTACTGACACATCCATGCTTTAGTAAAACTTATGGTCACAATACTCAACTCACAGGGGCTCATGCACTTCCCATCTGAATATTTTATGCTTGACTACACAGATGTATAATTTAATCTAAACTGGGCCATTTGATTTCACACATCTAGCTAGCTAAACTGACTAATTTTAAACCACCAATAATATTGTTCTGTAGCCTGGTATAATAAAACAGCAAAATAGCTAGGATTATGGTATTATATCTCCCAAACTGCTGATGTCTTGGGTTAGAAGGTGTATTTTCTGGGGCATTTTTACGTTTTCTTTTGTAGTGAAACCAGAAATACATAGGTTTTTTATTTGACCGATTAGAAAGTTGCCCATACACAGCTCAATGTTTGAAGGTAAAACAAGCATCAGTTGGATTGCTGTGAAACATACTATGTTGGCAAATGTGCTTGTATGTGCTTGTCATTGTGCAGGTGAACTGTCCCACATGTTGAAAAATCACTAAGACTGATTTTGGTTTCAGTCCTTTTCTGGGGAATTGTAAAACTGCTCTGGCTGTAAATATAATAACTGAACCATGGAGCATAATGTTGCCACATAATTATTAACACCTACAATACTCCAAAATGCTTCACACAGTGAAAAGATTTGTATACATGACCGCTTACTCATTATAATTGTATTGTTGCAATAGAGTTAAGTAAGATAAACATTCTTGCAATAGAGGCTAACTTCCCTATGAGATAATGATTGGGCCATGTGTAACATGAAGATGACTTGCACTTGAATATTGAATGGACAAAACAGCAGACTACAATATCTGTGTGCATAATGTGTATGGTGGAGGTACAATGGTTTAAGTGTCCCCTGCATAGTTTTCAACTGTTGCAAAACATATGGATAAGAGTTTGCCATATGCTTGTAGGACGATCTATGCAAGATCAGGCTTCATGAATTTGAGTCCAGCTAAAAGGGTTGATCAGCTTAACCCTTACTTTAGATCAGTGTTCAATCAGATCAGCCCAACATTGTAAAGTATATACAGTACATTCTTTTAAAAGGTCAGCGCTTGTACAGTTGGGCTTTGGGGGAAGGGGTGGGGGGTATTGGGCAAATACAACCAACTAGCCCTTTCATGGCAGTGACAGCTTTCTGTGTGCTAAATAATGTGTATCATACAAAGTCTGCTATGGAGACTCATTGATTGGTGGGCATAGTAAAACGTGGATGTTTCTAATGGAACTAATGGATTATTGTGCCACACCTTTACATCTTCACGCATCAGCTCCCTTTGCAGCTCCTAGCATTTGGTCACATGATATTTAAGCACCACAAGGAAGATTTTGTTCTGCTAGAAGCTGTGATTGCACGTCTGAGGTAAGATAGCTATATAATGGTCAGCATCTGTCACTGACTGTGGGTCCCACTCGGATCGATGTTGAAATTGTGATGTGTCTCAGAGCCAGCTTAGAGCTCAGAGCCATCAACCGCTCAGAGCCATTAACCTCTCAGAGCTCAGAGCCACCAACCCCCCCCCCAAAAAAGTTTAGAGCCACCAACCCCTTTGCCTTCCCGACCAGATCTCCCTTTTTTAGAGATACGGTTACCCACATATATACCCAATTAGGGGATACTACTAAAGATCCCAAATAATTCCTTATGCCTTAATAGTCTATGGTACTTTTCTTATATATTGTTTTACTTTATTAAGGAGAAGCACCCTCTATTCCTGTCAAAGGTATGTTGTGGGCTGGTTGAGTACTTGTACTTTAGATGATGCTCAGTCATTGGATAATGAGCAAACCACCAACATTTCCAAACTTTCTGATTCAGCTCTGTAATACAAATATTGTGAAATAAACTGTTTTTGGTCTGGGGTCTTTGGAACAGCACTCTGAACGTTTGTGAGTTGGTGGGTACAGAATACACTAGAATGCCCGTTTTGAGATTTAATTTTGTGGAATTGTAGAATTGTGGTAATTTACTTTATGTTTGTTTTGTCTTCTGTTTGTTGTAGCTCCATCAGAAAGTGCTGAGCTACAATGTTCGGGGTCTGAAGCTGGGCCTTCTTATGAATCCCTGCAAAGTGTATTTGATAAGAAGTCATTTCGTCCAACCCTGAATTACAGCCGACCGACTAGTGTGAATATCTCATTTACAATCTACGCAGTGCTTGGAGTGGTAAGAGCTTCTTGTGTGTTGGAAAATGAGGCAAAATGCTGGAAGTTAATTGGATTTCTGTCTGCTTTAAACTATCTATATATGTAAGCATTATCACCTTTGTTCAAACCAAATATATTCTTCCTTCAGAATGAAAAAACTCAGATTCTAACCACATTCCTCTGGCTCCGTATGGTAAGTAACAACATTTCTCTGTTCACTCCAACAAGAACAAGCTGTAGGCTTCATTATGTTCTGGAGTCATTTTTTATGAAATTCACAACAGTAGATAATGATTACTAACACATAAAACGGTATGCATTTCAGAGCATATGATGGACAAATGTGTAAGAACTAAAGCTGGGTAAACAATGTCATATTTGTTTTCCACCTACAGATATATAAACATACAGATATATAAAATATGACAGGCAGGGGTGTCGGCAACTGTCAGAATACCCGAACGGTGCTTGCAGCTGATTGGCTGCAAAGCACTGTTCAGCCGAGGAATATCCAACATGTTTCTTAGGGAAAAGTTGATTTAATGATCAACTTCTGTTGAGGGAATAGGGTCACCAATCGACCGCGATTTCATCTGATTCCTGCTGAATGAGCCGAAATTACCCAACTTAAGGATTATCTTCGGTGAAACCCGCAGGCCAAAACAATTAATAGATTTGGAGATATAAGCAGCTAAAGCCCCTTGAAAAAATTAAGAAGAGCACTGCCCCCTCTTGCACGAGCACTGCCCCCTCTTGCACCGCCCCCTCCTTGCACCTAGAGCATCAGGGTGAAAACCAAGCAACTAGCATTTTAATACGGTGGTCAGTAATCCTCACTTTCAGGAAGAACTGAACTCTGGAGGATGTGGCCAAAAAAAAGGAGGTAGAGGGAGAAGTACCAAGAAGAACAGTGAGCAGTACAGTAGCGACATCACCAAATCTTATTGCAAATCTGGTGAGACTAGCAGTCACAGTCAACAGTGCCTTAGATTTCCCACTACAGGTACAGTATATAGCTATGGTGTTGTAGAAATATAAGACAAAAGGTACATTTTTCAGGGTAATGCTGAAGCACAATTAACATTTCTGAATGGTCCCTATAACATAGATAATCGTCATGTTTGAAGTTCAGGTCCACATTAGGATTATAGGGTCTGTTTATAAATCCTCTGCCCAGTCATACACTGGGCGAATGCCGTTCACATAGCATTCCAACCACTAGATCATGCTGAGGAGCATAGGAAATTTGTATGGGAAACAGCGTACGGCTGGGTAGAAAACGTATAAATAGACCCATTAGTGTGTTTGGTTTAGTAAGCAATGATAACAAAAACATATTCTCTTCCACAGTTTTGGCAGCATGAGTTCCTGACTTGGACCCCAGCAAACTGTGGAGCTGTTGAAAAAATCTCTCTTCCAGTAGAAGACATTTGGACACCTGACATAATAGTTTATGAGTTGTATGTAGTCATTACCTTATAAATAAATGCTTTACACTTACAAAACTATGTAGAGATTATTGCTTAGTAAGCTGGTAAGATATTCTCCATTTAGGGGACATTACTATATATCCAATGAATGAAATTGATATAAAATGTAATTACGGCTATCCTGATTAATGTGATAGTTTTCCCAGATAAACTAAAGAAATAAAAAAATATGTCCCAATACTTGAGGGACACAATCTTTTAGTATATAAAGTATATGTGTTACAAGTCCAATGTGTTTTTGATAATGCAACCCAACACCTTACCTGTGCAAGGTATTTCAGTAGTAGATATTACTCTAAGTTGTTTAAAGAAATGTACATACATTTGTCTTTTTCAGCATAGATGAGGATAAATCGCAGCGCACACCATTTGTTTATGTAAATCACACAGGACGTGTCCGATATGACAAAATGATTCGAGTAGTCAGCTCATGCAATCTTGGGATCTTCAATTTCCCATTTGATGTTCAGAACTGCTCATTAACCTTTGGCTCCTACATGCATACAGGTAATTGCAAAGAAAAGAATAACATAGCTCCTGCAAATGTAATTGGAGAAGTAAAATGGACAATATTGACTTGAAACTCTTTGCATAACAATAATGCCAGTAAATAATACTCTGAAATCTTGGAAAACAAGTATGCAATTGTAAGAAGGCTCCTAATGTATAAAATACAGTAATAAATACTTATCAATAAATTATAATTCACCTTTCAGCAGTTTACCACAGACAAAGCAAAGAAAGACAACTACACAAGATTATACAGTACAGTATATGGTTACTGAGCGTTCAAAGGCAGAAGTACTAATGCTAGCCAATTGAACCAAAGGAAAATAGAGATTACACCAGTGGGAATATTACATGTTCTCAGCGCTGAGTACCGATTGGCTACTATGGCACATTATCCCAATTTTATTTTGTTTCAGGATAACTAATCCACTAAGACATGCTGTGCTCAATGGAATATACACACGTTTGCTTAGATGATTTCTGCAAAATAAATATTAAAAGCTTTTTAATTATTTTGTTTTTCATGTGCTAGCAAATTAAGTCCCCCTATCAAATTATTTTTCTGTTGTAGTAGATTTTTTTCTAAACCAACACTTTGATGAGCAGGAGGCTGGCATTTGTAAAATTTGTAGCTGCAGTTTAGTGTTAAAGTTTTCTTATCTCCCTACCAAACCATATATATATATTGATTGTCCCATAAGCTCAGAAATGCCCTGGCACTGTCATTCTTCACAGTAGGGCCATACCCTTAGCGCACAGAAGCGTAGAGCTACTGGCAAGCATACACTGCGTTTTCCATATATACCTGTGCTCCATCCAAAAGACCCAAATTTAAAAAAAACATAGTTGTGACAGTAAGATCCACAGTGCAATAAACACTTATTTTTTCCCCCACTCAGTGAGGGATGTGCGGCTTGGGCTGGCTCTTCCAGTGGAACAAATTCTTCAAAACTCTCTACAGTACCTTGAGACCAGTGGCGAGTGGGAACTCCTCAGAATTGAAGGATCCCCTGATATTCTGAGATTTGGCATTGATGAATGGGATATAATCACATTCTGGGTGAGATATGACAAAGTTAATAAATCATTCTTTGCTTTTTGAATAACACTGTTCTTATGTATAGCTTTCTGGGTCTTAATGCCAAAGTCGATGCACAGCTTATACTATTCATATGCATCCAGCTAGAATGTGACGAAGAGATACAGTATATAGGCTTATGTATGTAAACAAAATGTAAGTTTAACTTTGTAAAAATGTCAGGAAAATGTTTATTGATGCAGCAACTTATAAAGCGGTATGATTTCTTTGTGACGGTTTTATGCTTGTCTTATTCACTTTAATTTAGGTGGTGGTCAGGCGGCGTCCTATCCTGTATGTGGTGAATTTGCTCATCCCCAGTGCTTTTCTGATGTTGATTGACATCTTGAGCTTCTTTCTTCCACCACACAGCACTGACAGAGCCTCTTTTAAGATGACCTTGCTCTTGGGATACACTGTGTTCCTGCTCATTATGAATGACTTGTTACCGAGTACAGCCAATGGTACTCCACTGATTGGTAAGAATCTTCTTAGTGCGGATGAAACAGAGAGTTGTTCTGGTGCTACAAAGCTATATTTAGCAGGTTTACAGTATGTCTGTGAAGGTTTTCCTCTGTCCAGGTCATGGTATATCAATACATACTCCTGCATTTAGAGTATATCCGTATGGGTATATCAGTCCCCTTTATCCAAACACCATGTTGTCATGAAATGTGCTGCGATAAATTCACTAATTTTAACTGAAAAATCCAGATGTTACTTCTACCTACTTCTACCTACATTTACAGTACAAATCACTGGTACTTTTCAGGAGCATATTGCAATGGCTACTGAACCATTCACATCTGTTCTTGTCCGTCAAAACAGCTTATAGTCTAAGGTTCTTGAGAACACAAAATAGGGCCAGTCCCGGTTGAAGCAAGTCAATCCACCGGTAAGGAATATGGAAGGCATTCTGAGGACCTAGAAAAAATGTAAACATAAGAATAACAAAATATGTTATATGTATTTATATCAGGGGTCTGAAAGTATTGGCCCGCGGGCCAATTGTGGTGTGGCTGTACCAGGTCATATTCGGGTACTTACACTGCTTTTGTTTTAAAAATACATTTATTGATGTATTATTTGATTAAAAAACTGCATTATTTTTTTGTATTTTATATCTGCCTAGAGTTCAGCTTTAACCTAATACTGTTAGATTTGTTATGTTTGAATTGGTTGAACCACTAAAAAATGTTTGATAGTTTACTGATTAAAGATTTAAGCTGAAGAGACAATTATGTTAATGTGTATATGATCGTGAGATGATCATGTATATTTTGTGTATCTTACAGGTATTTACTTTTCAGTTTGCCTGGCTTTGCTTGTGCTCAGTTTACTGGAGACAGTTATTATCACTCACGTACTGCATCGTGGGACACAGAGTGGTATAGTGCCGTGCTGGGTGAAACGCTTTGTCTTAGGCTTTCTAGCTCAGCTGGTCTGTTACAATGATGTTTCTGTCAGTGATGAAAACCCTATCACTAATAATCACACACTCTATCCTACCAATGACATTGATGCACCAAGACAGGCACCACCCAGTCCTTGTCATGACAATGGCACTAACACAGGTAATGTCAGGAATTATTATGGTATTATTATATAGCAGCTCACTTAATACTGCAAGGAGCAATGTGTGTACTATAATAATGCAAAGAGAAATGTGTGTACTATAATAATGCAAAGAGTGAGGTGTGTACTATTAAATATTGCAATGGCTTAGTGTGTGGGTCAGGAGCATCACACCCCAGGGCCAATTAACAATAGAAAAACTTTCTGGAATTAGTTACTGGGATCTGGGTAACTGATCCCAGAATGTTTTCCTATTGTAAATGTGTGTACTATAATAATGCAAAGAGCAATTTGTTTACTAACCCCATATTGGACAATGAAAATTAATTTTTCAGGAGCCAAACGTTGGTTAATTTTATTTAATAAGTATGGAATATAACTCGTGCCAGGTTTTGTTTACAGTACCTAATTGAATAGGTATGTGTGGAATCTGACAGAATGATTGTTACATGGCACTCTAAATGCTCCAAATATAGGGCTGGTGGCTGCCATTGTATGCAAATTTCTTAATTTAAATCAACTCAAACTCTGCACGAAGCTCTACACAGTGGTGCAAACCAGACTCCTCTTTGCATGCCACATCAAAAGACAGCAGCACATCCAATATCTAAAATCACTCTTTATTTGCAAATTTAGCTAGTAATAATATAAGCCAAAGTGTTAGAGAGAGAATGCCCTCAAGTGTAGCTGGTGTAGCATTAATTCATAATATCACAATATATAACCTACATACTCCAACATTTATTTTTGAAATATATAAAAACTGCAGACTAAAGCAATAAAACACACATAATAAATTAGTTTTTTTTTCTGTTTTGAGCTTTGTTAGTTTAGTAAAAGGTACCATATGTATATACAGTAGGTACATCCTAGATCCCTGTTTTTCAACCAGTGGGTCGTGACACAAAATTGGGTCTCAACCCCATCTTCAGTGGGTCGTGGCATTCTTAGTCCATAGAGCTGGTCCTCCTGCCCCATTCAGCAGGGAGACAGAGAGGGGACTTTTTGTGGCAGTGTGCAGGAGACTCCTATGTATTATGAAACAGTCCCCTCTCTCCCCAGGCCCCCTGCTGAAGTAATAGGACCTAGGGAGCAAGGGGACTATTTCACCACTTTCAGCCTGGCTCCCGATAACTAAGTTAAAGTTCCCTACCTGCACTGCCCTCCCCAGTGCGGAAGATATCCATCCGCCCCAACGCGGCAGATATCCATCTGCGCCAGTGCGGCACATGAATTTCAAATAGGGAGTACAGCCTGCCCAGAGACCGAGGAGGCTGGGAAAGGTAGGCAGGCAAGGAGAGGTGTGCAATTGTTTTCATTATAATGTGTGGTGAACAGTTAAAAATCGATCATAATGTCCACGCTGCTAATTCTTCCCCTGTCAGTGCAGAAGCTGGGGGCGGGGTGCTTTAGCAGGGGCCCCATTGCTCATTTTCTACAAGTGATCTGGGCAGCTTTATAGCCTGCCAGATCACTTGTAGCAGGCTGCTTGTGTGGTGTCCCCCACCACCTGCCGTAGTTTTCGAGGTTCCCCGTTCTGGTGGACCCGGGACCATGGCAAATTAATTCAGGGCTGAGAGAAAATTAAAAAAAATAATGAAAAATAATAAAACAAATAAAAATGTAAAAAACTAATAAAACCAATCCCGCTGTCCCCGCCATCTACCTGTGAATAAATATGTGCGCGTGGGGCATGCATGTGTACGACGATTGCGCCACACATGTTCGGTATCATCGTGAACCTGAAATTAATTTGGGGTTGCAACTTAAATACCATGGACAAATGTGGGTCCTGAGGTTACACAGGTTGAGAACCACTGTCCTAGATGATATTGATAAATATCGTAATACACTTAGTATAGTACATACTGCACAGATCTACTAAAATATACAAACTATCATCCCATTTATAGTTGAGATCCCCCCAGGAACTCTATTTGTGAAGGAAAAATACATTTATTTTTTATTACAAAGAATCACTAGGTAGCAAAATGTGAAGTATGCATATCTGAGTAAATCCTATAACTTAAAATATAGCACAATTTCATTCAAGTACACAAACTCCTACCCCTTCTATAGCTTATGTCTTCATAACTAATTGTTTATATAAAAGATCCAATCAAACCTGCATGTAAATATATCTCCTCCATGCTTTGGTGACATAGACATAATAAGTGGGCTGGTGGGAGAAGCTCCACATTTTGCATTTAAGCATCAGGTTGGTGACTATATAAAATGTGGAGCTACACTGATCACCTACACTGCAGCTAAGTCACCTTATTGCCTCTGATTCTAGTGAAGGAAAAACAGCAAACTGATTTGCATACCTCTGCTTTCTCCTGCTATCAACAAGTTCTTTGTCAACCCATACACATACAGCACACCCAGGGCTAGATTTCCCACAAGGCCAACCAAGGCCCGGCCTTGGGGCAGCAGGGAGTAGGGGGCAGCAGGGGTGTGGAATTCCTATCTTCCAGGCATCGGCATTGAGGAACCTGGCATTGGGGCAGCAGAGAGAGTAAATCCGGCCCTGAGCACACCTAAACCTAGTGCTGTCCCTTCCTGTCCCAATCTGAATGCTACTGTACAGGGGGTTAAAAAAGGCTGATACCAATTCAAATTCAGGTACTTACACTAAATGTATTTAAAGATACATTTTATGAAGGCATAATTGCAGTAATGGTGCTACATTATACTATATATGTTCGGAGTTTAGCTTTAAGGCATAGTCCACCATGTTTCATGTTATACCCATATTTAGGGGGAAGTGCCTGGTATGGAACTGGGGATCCCATGACAGTTTTTTTGTTGGGGGGAGGGGGGGGTAGAGGGTCCCTCTTCACATCTATATTGGATCCCCATCTAGGATAAGGGTCCGGTATAGATGAAGGGCATCTCCAGCCGCTTTGCTTAGAAACAGAATTAAGCGGCCGGGAGGTTATTTGCCGGAAATTTTAACAACATTTTTTTTCTTTCTAAATGCCCATTTTGCTGTAATACATTGTATACATTGCAAAGTTGTGCCACTTTACAGGCAGGTTCAGGACATCCCCCAAACATGCTATTCAAAGAAATTTGGCATGTTTTATGTTGTCATTTAAGCATTATTAAAATCATTGTTCCCAGCCAAATTATTTTTTTTTAAATTTCTTTTGCTTAAGTACATGACTCCATGGCACAGCCCAGCTTCCCATGCCATTTGTTTGACAATTCCTTGCCTATTAGCCTTGAAAATCTAGAGAATTGCTTTTTAAGACTTGCCCCATTGACTTCAAAGGGGTTCAACTGGGGAGCTTTCCACTACATATGCCAAATGCACCCACAACCTGAACCCAAGCAAGTTCGCCCATCGCAAAAATTTACCAGTTCATTAGGGAGAGGGTAGTCAGGTAGGTTTAACTTTACCCCCACCCCCTCTGCCCCCCAGCTGCCCAACATTCCTGGGTTTAGAAATGCTGGTGGGTTCAGGCCATAGTTTTTTGTTTTTTTATCAGTGGGTGTTCAGTGAGAATCACTGCATTTTCATTGTAAATTGCATGTAAAATGTGTTAAGTGAATGTACAGTGAATGTGAAACCTGTCAGGTTATAAACAGGGTGAATAGTATAGTAAGCATAATTTACCACTGAAGACCAGATGCTGACAAAGGATGGCAACGTTGATGGATGTACAGGTAAATCTAACTGGTAAGCGTGCTTTATAAGCAGAGAAAAATGGCTTCCTGACAAATGTCACATTCACACTTTTATACATATGTTCCTAATGAAGGCAAACAGAAACAGGGGATAAGGGTACCCAGAAAAACAGTTTAAATTAGAGCATCAATGGTATGTACGGCAGAGGTTGGTGATATTTGCACTTTGCATTTCACCACCACCTTTTATTAAATCACGGAATGGACATCTCCTTCAGGTCCTCATAAACCAAAAATTTGGTCCATTCTCTGGGAGAGGATTAAACTGTCAAAAATGTTCTAATTATATTAAACAAGGATTTCAAGTCATTCGTATTGGATAAAAAAATTGTCTACTTGTAAAACATGGTCATATTCTGATGTTATGCTGCCTTTTTCTTATCATAGAGCACAAGGAGTTCTCACCACCAGTTTTTGAGTTTCTCTCACCCGAAACTCTGTGCTCTGGTGCGGAAAGGCTGCTAGCACTTATCAGTCAAAATCTTCGTATGGTGAGAGAAATGTTAGAAAGCAGACAACATTTTAAGGCACAAGAAGAAGAGTGGGTGAAAATTGGTTATGTGTTGGACTCACTGCTATATCGTCTTTATCTTATCTTCATTGGGTCATATGCCATTATCATCATCAGCGTGTGGTGTGTCTGGTATAACACATAAAGACACAAAAGAACTATGTTACAATGGACTACCTCCCCTCCCTACAATTTTGCATACCCCTCTTTCTTTTCTCCCTCACCTCCCCCCTTCCTCTGTGTTCTTACAATATCCCCTTTCTCTATAACTTGTTCTAATTCTAGGTTAGTGGGTGCATGGATACTTTAACCCAGACTAGATATAGTGTGATCCTGTGCCCTCACTACCTCAGTCTGTCAACCACTTTTAGATTGTGACAACTTTGTTATACTGTATGTAAATAGCTAACCCGTGTACATTATACCTCCCCTCTCCTAATACAGTGTGTTTATTTCCGCCTTTTCGCTATTAGAATATGCCTATGTGACTAAACTGTATTTAGTGAAACTAAGATATTAAGCTTGGGGAACAAAGTTTCGCGTTCTGTTAACCAATGCCTTTGTGCTTGGTGACCTCAGTTATCTGAGGTGATCATCCCTGGAAAATACCGAGGTTGATGATCATGAAAGTCAAAATAATTATCATTTTCTGTGTATTGTTATCCTGTAAAAAAATATAGGTATATTCCTCTGCTATAGTTGCCTGACAGCTTGTGGATAAACTATTAATAATACTTTTATATTAGGGAAAAACATGTACACAGTATTTTAAGACTATTGAAGGCAACAATCATTAAGCCTATATGGTTTATAATAATGAATTCATTAGGAAGAAACCAAACAGCAGTGCCATAGCCAGGTGTGAGCATTGGGACTACATTGGGGACCTTATCTCTAGCTTAGTAGTACTATAGGACTAAGCACTCATTATCACTTTTCTATTATATACTCCTGAGAGATGTAGGTGCATATAGGTGCAAATGTTCAGATTCTTACTGACTGAAGTAATCAACAGCTTGTTTTATAAATTACAGTATGCAGTAATAGGCAGCACAATTTAGAGTATTAATATTTAAATGTAAGTGAGAATAGAAAAGAATGGCAACATAAAACTATGCGCTACATACAGTTTTCCACTTAAGTCCAATACTGGGAGTAGGTGGGGGTGGGTCCCTAGGCAAGAGGAAGACTTGCTTTCTTCTTTTGCTCCTTTTTCTTTCTTTCACTATTTCCTTTATTTTTACCTTCTCTTCTTCCTTGGTGCTTTCACTCTCTGTATTGCTCTTCATTAATGACTAATGGTTAAAACAGGTGAAACAGCTGAAGTAACATCCAGTTTGCTCTGGTTGGGGTTTCGAGTCAGTAATGACATCCCTAGACTAAAAGATCTAGTCAGACCTATATTTGCTTTCTGTGCAACAAACTGTCACGAGTCAAGACCAGATCTGGACCCTGCCTCTTTTATCTCAGCTTTATTTGATGACCTCTCATCTTGCTTCTGTTCTATACATTTGCATTATGATTCTGTTTTACATATGGAGTGTCATAGATGTACTACAAAAGGACATGTTTGCAAATCTCCTTATTGAAAAAGATAAAAAGCATTAAAACAGAAAGATTATGGTACACCATCATTCACTTATGCAATACTGCCCTATTATGTGTGTAACTGTTATCTATGTAAAAAAAAGTATCTAACTGGTTACTTCTGTTCAAAACGATTATTGGTTGGATGTTGATTACTATAGTATATGTCATTCTGTAATTGTATTTGAACGAATTCTATTAAAAGCTGCCCTTTAAACTTGCATGTAGGTCTATTTTTCATTTTTTTTTATATAAACATTAAAGTCTACTACTGAAAATTATTTCTTTTTTTCTGAATGTATGTTTAATAAAGTTTTTTACAGACAACAAAGCAAGAAAAAGTACCAGAATTGCCATGTAACATTGGAGTCCAAACCACGTGATCTGGTTTTCTGGGAAAAACATCTCTAAGGCTTTATCCTGGTTAGAGGGGTCACTGCCTATATACATATGGCTTTCAATAAAGATTATAAGACATTTACATCTAGAGCGTGGTGTCATTAAGGGGCGGAACAACTGCCGGTGCAGCCGGTGCGGCTGCACCGGGGCCTGAGCCTGGGGGGGCCCAGCAGACCTAGGCACCAGACCAGTGGCAAGGTAGGGCAAGAGATGGTGGGGGGGCGTCCGGCCGCATGACCAAACGGCCGCACAGCAGTGAGGCCAGAGTGAGGCAGAGCAGCCTGCAAGCAAACGGTGAGGCAGTGCTGGGGCCTCGGCCGGGAGGACCCAGCAAGCAGCTTCCTGATCACACAGCCCGCCGACTCTCCCAGCTATACGGTGTTCCCGCCGCTGAGGAGGAGGTGAGATGATGCTTTTTTCTTCTGTATATGCCTAAGTTCTGTGACATGTTTTGTAGTCTTCTATAACTGATGGAATTATTCTGCATTTCTGTAGAGAGCATTGCTGGAAGTTGTAGTCCCCTATAGCCGTTACCATTCTGCATTTCGTTAGAGAGTATTGCTGGGAGTTGAAGTTCTCTATATCCGTCACCTTTCTGCATTTCAGGAGAGACTATTGCTGGGAGTTGTAGTCCTCTGTAACCATTACCATTCTGCATTTCTGTATAAAGTATTGTGGGCAAAACAATAGTTTTGCCACTGGTGTCATTATTGTTCATATTCCTTTTCCCAATATGGGGATCAAGATAGAAATTGAGGTAGTATTTCAGCAGAGGCCCCATTAGTGTTTAGCTTCTGTGGGATGGATTTAGTATCGACAGACAACAGAGATAACAGGAGAGAAAATAAGCAGTTCCCTGTATGGATTATAACAGTACTTCATTCAAAAGGGAGAAGAAAAAAGAGGGATATAAGACTGGGGAGCAATAAGTCCTTAGCGTTTGATGTAGTGGGCATGACATCGTGGAGTGTTCCCAGGTGTGACTCAACATGTAGAGTTTATTGATTTAATTGGAAGGTGTATACAGTAAATCCTGGTCTATCCAGACTTCCTAGATTGTTTCTAGGTTTTGGTGTACTCTAGCTGTAACCCGTTCCATCAGCTTTATTTTCTTTATTTTGGTTAAGTACGTCACCATTAGTTGGAGGGTGTGCGAGTTTAAATTTGGAAATTAGTAAACAGTGGGCTGCTGTAAGGATATGTGCGGTAAGCTTTTACAATTGTTTGTCAAATGTTTTTTCAATAATGAACCCAGATCAAACAAATACACATTGCCCAGTAAAGTATTTCTTTATATTTTTGCCAAAACACTTACAGTCAGCAAGTTTCCAAGCAGCTGGCTCCAACTCTCTCAGTTCGGCTTCCCTGAACTTTCTGTCCAGTTAAAGACCACAAGGGAGAGCACAGTCTCCAGCAGATGCCCATCAGCTAGCTTGGAGAAGGGATGAAGGAAAAGGTAGTGGGGAGCAGGGACCAGGGGAGTGGCTTGCTTTGCTATGCCTATGTGTCTGTGGAGACACTGCTCACTAGCACACTCATGGGTGGCTCCATAGGACCCTGGACCCCTGCAAGGGAAGGGAGCCACTCTAAAACAGGATATCAGTGCCAGTGCTCAGGTTTTTATATTGTAGAAGGGAAACTGGTGCAGAAATGTGGAACACTATGAGGTGAATTTATCAAAACTGGAGCAGACAAAATCTGGAGCAGTTGCCAATGGCAACCAATCAGCTTCTCTATTTCTTTTTCAAATCATAACTTAACAAACTGAAGAGAGAAGCTGATTGGTTGCCCTGGGCGACTGCTCCAGATTATGTCTACTCCAGTTTCGATAAATTCTCCTCAATGTCTCTTAGCCTGTAATATACAAACTAATGTCAGTGTACAGATCTATTGGCAAGCTGGCTAGCTTCCAATTAAAATGGAACTACTGCTAATTTGAAAACTGCTGACTGTTTTCTTCTTTACAAATGAAAGTAAAACTCTGGCCTACCATTAAAGAATATGTGCCAGGGCACTTAGTTATAAGTACATCTGCACTTACAGTTTACTCTTAGTTCTGCTGCAAATTCCCAAAAAATACCTGTGGAACCTGCCAGTGACGTCCACCTAATGCAGCTTCCTGTTATAGTATGGCAACTCTGCTGCACTGCTTCTGATTTCAGAACGAGTCTCTTGTAGGCTGTGCTTGCTTGCACTACAGCAGGATGAAAAAATATTGCAGGGAGTGTGTTGAACAATCAGCACCTAAACACCCCTAGTCCTGCCCACTGCTTTCTGCACTGGCAGCACTGCCTCTGTTGCTGAAACCCTCCCACTATCAGTTGCAGTGCCTGGGAGGGGGAGCATGTGAGACACAAATGAAGGAGGAACGTTTTTTGTTTTATTTTATTTGGCTTGGGCATCACGTAATACCTGGGAATCTCCTGCAGAATCCAGGACAGTTAGCAAATATGACCAAGCATGACTTTCTATATAGCTCATTGTGCTATTTAACCCTGTCACTAGCACCAATGTAATTATTCAGTGTGCAGCAGCACCGACATGTACCGTATTTTTCGCTCCATAAGACGCACTTTGTTCCCCCCAAAAGGAGGGGGAAAAAGTGCCTGCGTCTTATGGAGCGAATCCCGACGCCCGAGACATGCAGTTTCGGGCGCCGGGCGAGTAGTAGGAGCCACTGCTCGTTTAATACGAGTGATCTAACGAGATCACTCGTATTAAAGCCGAGCAGCGGCGGCGGCGATCGAGTTCAGCAGCAGGAGCCACTGCTCGTTTAATACGAGTGATCTAATGAGATCACTCGTATTAAAACCGAGCATGCGGCGACGATCGAGATAACCATAGAGCAGACGAAGAATAGACGTTCTTCGCCTGCTCTGTGTCATCACTGAGACCGTGGCGCTGTAATCACAGCGCCACCTGTCTCAGCGGTCACTAACTGCAGCTTCTGTCACAGCTTCTGTCATAGAAGCTGTCACAGAAGCTACAGTCTCGAGTGCTCCATAAGGCACGCCGGACCTCCCTGCGTCCTATGGTCCGGTGCGTCTTATGGACCGCAAAATACGGTACACAGATTCCCACACAATATAGCAGCTGTAAGTTTGTTTACCTATTTAGCCCTGGTTGCCTGCCAGGGTTGGGAGGGCAAGTGTGTGAAAATGTGCCAACCCAAAAGGAACACACACACAAAACACCCCAAGAGTGAACCCCGCCTACACACACATTTTAGGTTACTCAATGCAACTTCATATATGATATTTTACCAAAGAATTGGGTATTATGTTGTGTGTGTGTGCACTAAAAAGAATTTGAAGGTATAACTATTTACTGAAAACATAGATTTGATAAACAGCAACACAATTATTGTGTGACTTAAAAAAATAAATTGTAATTGCCACTATTTTATTTTACAGGACCTCTGGTTTCAGAAAAATGCACATTTTACCTTGTGTGCAAAATGGTTAACGTTATTTTAAGTACTGTAAACATGTGAGGTTTAGGACTCCTCAGTGAAGATTTTGAAGTGCCTATGCGACAACGAGCAGGTTACACTGAGGTCTCAGTGGAGCAGGGAAAAGTTTATTATAAAGCTTGTCAGGGGGAGAAAAAGAGAGCCCAGTATGTATAACTCTGCTAAAAATGGAAGCACACCTATTACATACCGTGTTTCCCCGAAAGTAAGACCTACCCCGAAAATAAGACCTAGCACTATCTTCAGGGGTTTCTGTAATATAAGACCTACCCCGAAAATAAGACCTAGTTCGGTGGTAGATCTCATATTACAGAAATCCCTGAAGAAAGTGCTAGCCGCAGCTCCCTCCCGCCCGGCACGCCCCCTCCCGCCCGCACGCCCGCCCACTTGTCTGTGGCTCCCTGGACGGCAGAGCGGACAGCTGCAGCCAGGTAAGACATCTCCCGAAAATAAGACCTAGTGTCTTTTTTCGTAGAAAAAAAAATATAAGACACTGTCTTATTTTCGGGGAAACACGGTACCATAGTTTGCATCCTGCCATGGCACATTGTTTCCTCATCACCTTATACATTTTCGCTCCAGGCTGACATCTCAGTGCTGATCATATACGCAGGTAAAAATTCCTGTCTTTGCATTTTTACTAAGGATTCCTTTCAGTGAGACATGAAAGTCGTCTTCGTAGATGATTTATATTTACATCTTACATGTTTCTTTCCGAATTAGTTTTACGTTCTGGGGGACAAGCATCAACGGCACATTATTGCGCCACACGAATACATTGGAGGGATTCCTCTGGTCTGTGATGGATATAGAGATTGGTGCGTGATCCGACCATGTGATATCATGAATAATAGATTTAGTTAGTCAGGGTACGCTTGTCCGCCAGAAAGAGATCAATTCGGGAGTATGAATTATGTGGGGCAGAGAAGAAAGTAAAATCTCTTTCAGAAGCATGCAAGCAGCGCCATACATCGAACAGAGATTCATCGCGGAGCAACTGCTGCAGTTCTGAAGAAGATTTCCTAGTGGCATTGGAGGAATCAAGAATGGAGTCAGGAGCCAAATTAAAGTCCCAACAAATGACAGTATGGCCTTGACGTATGGTATTAATTTTCTTGACTACCCTGCGCAAGAATCTAACCTGGTGAGTGTTAGGAGCATATAAGCATACTAGAGCTGCAGCTAACGATTATTTTCAAAATCGATTAGTTAGCCGATTATTAAGTTCGATTAATCGATTAATCGGATAAACAATAAAATTGTAAAAAATGGCTCCAGTGATGGACTACTAGTTTGTATTGAGATTGCAGTCCATCACAGGAGCAAGCTTGGAGCGGTGGAAGTAAAAAAGAAAAAAAATAGTGTGGTGTGCAATATAGTGAAATGGAAAGTGTAAAATTATACAGCAATGAATGGCATCGGCTATAGAGGACTACAAATCCCAGCAATAGTACATTATACAGCGCAATGCAGAATATCACCAGCTATTGAGGACTACAACAAATCCCAGCAATAGTACATTATAGCTGGCGGTATTCTGCATTGCGCTGTATAATGTACTGTTGCTGGGTTTTGTAGTCCTCTATAGCTGGTGGTATTCTGCATTGCACCACTGTATAATGTATTACTGCTGGAATTTGTTGTACTCCTCTATAGCTGGTGGTATTCCGCTGTGTAATGCATTATTGCTGGGATTTGTAGTCCTCTATACAGCGCAGTGCAGAATATCACCAGCTATTTAGGAATACAACAAATGCCAGCAATACATTATACATACAGTGTACAATGTATTGCTGGGATTTGTATTCCTATGTATAATATACAGCACAATGTACCATCAGCTATCGAGGAATACAAATCCCAGCAATACATTATAGAGCACCATGTGGGGGGGAGTGCAGGCTTACCTGAGCAGTCTTCCAGCAACTTGCTTCTGAGATCGGACCTGTCTATTGGCGGCTGTCATCCCCCCACACCTGCTCCTCCTTACTACATCTCCCCGCGTCCCTTTGCCGATCGTGGATGTGGGTGGGCGGTGAGTGTGAGACGGGGAGGAGGTGCGGCGTGAAGAGCGTGGATGCGGGCGGGTCTGGCAGCAGCGAGTGAGGTGGGGAGGAGGTGCGGCGCGCAGCGTGTGTGGAGTCGTGAACGGGACCAACTGATCGGAAGCCGATTAATCGATTATTGAAAAAGTTGACAACTTTTTCAATAATCGATTATAATCGATTATGTCGATTAGTTGTTGCAGCCCTAAAGCATACAATGGTGTACATAACAGAATCAATAGTACAAATCAACACAACATATCTACCGTTTGGATCTACATAGGAGTCGACAGCGGCAAACGTAACCGAGTCTCTCACTGCAATCATGACTACCCGTGTCTTTTTCGGATAATTAGCAAAAAACGTGTGGGAGAAGTTCTTCTGAGAGCATGTTGAGGCTTGTAGAAGTGAAAAGTGGGTCTCTTGGACACATAGGACGTCCGCAGAAAGGGACTGTGCCTCTTTCCACATCTGGTTCCTTTTAGCCGGGTGGTTAAGCCCCTTAGCATTCAGGAAAATGATATTCACAGGCATTGTGATTGGGGGGTAACGAAAAGCATTAAAGGCCCCATACTTACACCCAGGTAGAAAGTAACGCAATTATTGCCAAAATCCCAAAATCATGCTGCACCAAAATGCACAGTAACAAAGCACAGATTGAACGCACTTGAAAGCGCATGGTGCAGCGACAGGTGTGTGTCAACGACAGTTTTGATGCTTTCGGGTGCCATTAACAATGAATGGCATTGTAGAGCGTCTTACAAAGTGACATGTGTTTTGGCGCGCTTCAGCATCACACAAAAAAGTACAGATGTGAACTAGGGTTAAAAAAGGGGGTAAATGTCTGAAGACAATGATAAAAACAAAAAAAATCTACCTTTCTTCCCTACTCTATCCACAACTAAAATGAAAGAAAAAAATGTGTAGAACTGCTCCACGTATACAGTTCATAAAGCGCCATCTTGTGGCCAATATGATAATTGCACTTGACGATAACGCATATTCCGTTGTTTGTGAATTCGAGTTTGTTAATACTGAGATGGCTGGCAGTTATAAGGCAGTTATATGTGGCAGAAAGGTTCAGCGCTGAGGTGTACCAAGATGGCCGACTTCATGTTCGGAAGACACAGCATCTTGGTTTGATCTGCCTGGGACACCGTAGAAGGTGCCGGGTGACAGGGAGTACGGTGGCCGGAAAGGCTAAGGACAGAAGCGTGAGAGATATGGCTGCGCGGCTCGGGAAGCGAGGTGCAGGAGGAGATGATGAGTCGCCTCCTTTGTATGCCGTGCTAATAGCGGACAGCTTCAACAAGAGGTTTTATCCGATTACTAAGGACCGGCCACGGGTGAGAAAGCTGTAGTTCTGGATGAGGTCTATGGCAGAATAGATGGCTGCCAGCCATGACATGTGTGAATCCCTCCTGATGTCACTCTTCGTGTTTGTATGACAGCAGTGCATCTGAGCCGGCTTTTATCTGCGTTTTACACATTTATTATATTAGGATATTGACACTTGTGTTTATTTTTCATTTTTACTGTGTGTCATTATTTTTGAGTTCCAGCTGTATCACCTGTTCTTCTTCAGTAAATGTATATTCTGGGTAGGGCGGTGGAATTTAAAGGCCATCTCTGGGATAAAATCAACACCTCTCCCTCTAACTAATAACAAGAAACAAAACTTACAGAAAGCTGTGGTCACATGACCCTCCTGTACCGGGGCTTCTCTCTGTTTACATTTGACGAGTCTTTCGTCAGTGTCCATGTTACTTCATGACGTGGGCACTTCCTATTGGCTGACGTGTCCAAGAGGGGGTCCTCTTGGGATCTAGAAGAGGAGTTATGTCATTGTAGGGGGCCAGCTGCTGAAAGACCAATTGCAAAACTGGCATTGACAAGGGACCTAGTGTGGGTACTTTGGTGAGTGTAATCTGCTCCTCAAAGTAGGTAAAAATAAAAACCCTGCAGGATGGGTTAGGGGGCGGAAGGGGGTCATATTTTGCATGGAGTTTTTTACTACGGGCGGACGGCAAGAGGTTAAAGTAGAATTAAACTCTCAAACTTTTTAAAATCTGGAACAAACAAATATACATTGTCCAGCAAAGCATTTCTTTACATTTTTTTTTCCAAGCACTTAGTCATCATGTTTCTGAACAGCTCCAACTCTCAGCTCGGCTTCCCTGAACTTCCTGTCTAGAATAAGATCACATGGGACAGAGCAGTCTCCAGCAGCTGTCCATCTGCTAGCTCGGAGAAGGGATGAGAAACAGGAAGGAGGGGGAGTGTCTTGTCTTGCTGGGCCTGTTTGTTTTTTGAGACACATGCAGCTTACTAGCACACACAAGGATGGCTCCATAGTACCCTGCAAGGTAAAGAAGCCACCCTAAAACAGGATATCAGGGCCAGTGCTCAGGGGACCAGCTGATTCTGCAGAAAACAAAATGTTTTAAACTTCAAGGAGCAGCATTCAGTGTAAGTGATTTAATCAGCATGTAAAATAGCTTAAACCGCATAACCCACTTGAAAGTCCACACAGCCCACCATAGAACCTAGATAGATTAAAGTAGTCACTCGCACTCCATGATATTAAAGTCAATGCTGTTTATTGACTGTGATAACACACATCTCCTTAGCGACGTTTCGAGACCATGCGGCCCCGTCCTCAGGCAAACAGAGAGTGGGTCAAGCAACAAAATCAAACAATAAATACAGGTGAAACAAAATCAAACCACCAATCACAATGCAGTTAATACCTCCTCCTCTGACGTCCTAACAACGTGATTCACACCATGCTGCCCAGGTGCAATTAGCTATATGCTGAACACATGATACAGATGCATACTGGTAAAACACCTTGTCCGTAGTGGTGATCTTGCATTGCCCGAGATCTACCTGATTTTTTCCGATCCGTGTCATCCATGGATCCGAGTTGCATCCTGCTGGCTGCTCATGTCTAGGGGACCGGCTCTCACGGTGTCTGCGCATATATATTACCAAAGATCATTGTGCCGTCCGTCAGTCAATGAGTGTCAGGAACCCGGATCAGGTGACCGATCGGTTGCTAGGTAATCGGGCAACGCCTGTCACTTGCGGAAAATAAAAGTTTAAAAATGTTTTATTAAACAATGCAGCGAAATATATGACATGCAACTTCAATCTGATGTCTGTTGGAAAAATTTAACAACCGTGCTGGTACATTGTATGGAGCAACCAGAACGTTCACTGTATCTTATATACTCAGTGTTCCACTTAGCTAAAGATAGAAAAGCGAAATGAATAAGGCAGGGGGGGAATATATTTATACACAGCGTCTTGCAGTATAGTTGTACTCAAAGTGGTGTAGTTGAAGGGATACTATTCCCATGTTTATGGAAGAACTTTGATTATAGCCGGTCAAAGTATGCGATAGATCACTCTCTTCTCTATAAGGAGAGCTCTTTAACATGCAATCCCAAGATTGATAGCATTTCTGAATTCACTCCATGATATTAAAGTCAATGCTGTTTATTGACTGAGATAACACACATCTCCTTAGCGACGTTTCGAGACCATGCGGCCCCGTCCTCAGGCAAACAGAGAGTGGGTCAAGCAACAAAATCAAACAATAAATACAGGTGAAACAAAATCAAACCACCAATCACAATGCAGTTAATACCTCCTCCTCTGACGTCCTAACAACGTGATTCACACCATGCTGCCCAGGTGCAATTAGCTATATGCTGAACACATGATACAGATGCATACTGGTAAAACACCTTGTCCGTAGTGGTGATCTTGCATTGCCCGAGATCTACCTGATTTTTTCCGATCCGTGTCATCCATGGATCCGAGTTGCATCCTGCTGGCTGCTCATGTCTAGGGGACCGGCTCTCACGGTGTCTGCGCATATATATTACCAAAGATCATTGTGCCGTCCGTCAGTCAATGAGTGTCAGGAACCCGGATCAGGTGACCGATCGGTTGCTAGGTAATCGGGCAACGCCTGTCACTTGCTGAAAATAAAAGTTTAAAAATGTTTTATTAAACAATGCAGCGAAATATATGACATGCAACTTCAATCTGATGTCTGTTGGAAAAATTTAACAACCGTGCTGGTACATTGTATGGAGCAACCAGAACGTTCACTGTATCTTATATACTCAGTGTTCCACTTAGCTAAAGATAGAAAAGCGAAATGAATAAGGCAGGGGGGATATATTTATACACAGTGTCTTGCATGGGGGGGTGCCGCGAACGAGCACATATAGGCGATCGGCGGGCTATGGACCCGCCGATCGCCTATATGTGAAACACCCGGTAACGGGTGTGTGCATTTAGCGGGTCTTTTCTGCCCGTGCGTGCCCGCTAGGGGGCGCGCGCGAGCAGAAAAAAATTGCCGTCTGGAGACGGCAACCCGCAGATGCTGCAGTGCCGTCCGTCCGTTTTTTTACTACGGGCGGACGGCAAGAGGTTAAAGTAGAATTAAACTCTCAAACTTTTTAAAATCTGGAACAAACAAATATACATTGTCCAGCAAAGCATTTCTTTACATTTTTTTTTCCAAGCACTTAGTCATCATGTTTCTGAACAGCTCCAACTCTCAGCTCGGCTTCCCTGAACTTCCTGTCTAGAATAAGATCACATGGGACAGAGCAGTCTCCAGCAGCTGTCCATCTGCTAGCTCGGAGAAGGGATGAGAAACAGGAAGGAGGGGGAGTGTCTTGTCTTGCTGGGCCTGTTTGTTTTTTGAGACACATGCAGCTTACTAGCACACACAAGGATGGCTCCATAGTACCCTGCAAGGTAAAGAAGCCACCCTAAAACAGGATATCAGGGCCAGTGCTCAGGGGACCAGCTGATTCTGCAGAAAACAAAATGTTTTAAACTTCAAGGAGCAGCATTCAGTGTAAGTGATTTAATCAGCATGTAAAATAGCTTAAACCGCATAACCCACTTGAAAGTCCACACAGCCCACCATAGAACCTAGATAGATTAAAGTAGTCACTCGCACTCCATGATATTAAAGTCAATGCTGTTTATTGACTGTGATAACACACATCTCCTTAGCGACGTTTCGAGACCATGCGGCCCCGTCCTCAGGCAAACAGAGAGTGGGTCAAGCAACAAAATCAAACAATAAATACAGGTGAAACAAAATCAAACCACCAATCACAATGCAGTTAATACCTCCTCCTCTGACGTCCTAACAACGTGATTCACACCATGCTGCCCAGGTGCAATTAGCTATATGCTGAACACATGATACAGATGCATACTGGTAAAACACCTTGTCCGTAGTGGTGATCTTGCATTGCCCGAGATCTACCTGATTTTTTCCGATCCGTGTCATCCATGGATCCGAGTTGCATCCTGCTGGCTGCTCATGTCTAGGGGACCGGCTCTCACGGTGTCTGCGCATATATATTACCAAAGATCATTGTGCCGTCCGTCAGTCAATGAGTGTCAGGAACCCGGATCAGGTGACCGATCGGTTGCTAGGTAATCGGGCAACGCCTGTCACTTGCGGAAAATAAAAGTTTAAAAATGTTTTATTAAACAATGCAGCGAAATATATGACATGCAACTTCAATCTGATGTCTGTTGGAAAAATTTAACAACCGTGCTGGTACATTGTATGGAGCAACCAGAACGTTCACTGTATCTTATATACTCAGTGTTCCACTTAGCTAAAGATAGAAAAGCGAAATGAATAAGGCAGGGGGGGGGGGGGGGATATATTTATACACAGTGTCTTGCAGTATAGTTGTACTCAGAGTGGTGTAGTTGAAGGGATACTATTCCCATGTTTATGGAAGAACTTCGATTTATATAGCAGGTCAAAGTATGTGATAGATCACTCTCTTCTCTATAAGGAGAGCTCCTTAACATACAATCCTAAGATTGATAGCATTTCTAAATGAGTGCAGTTCCAATCATGGTGAGTCCCTCCTCTACACTTTGTCAATTCATTGACAACTGTGTTGTTTTAAAATTCCCACCATGGGTGGCAGGTGTGTAAAGAGGAGGTTCAACTGACCACCTCCAAAAGATGTGCATGGTCCAAGCTATCATAAATCCATGGACCAAATTAAAATCAACAGGATCAGCAAGTAACCTTTAAAATATAAGGAAAGATTTAGAAATAAATGTCAACTCATGAAGTTGAAGGACACCAATAAATTGTGATTCATGGATGTCTAAAAGACATCTATCTATCAGACAAAAAGCAGGTGTATGAAGAACCGGAATTTAACCCTCGAGGTATAATTGTTGGGGGGGGATATATTTATACACAGTGTCTTGCAGTATAGTTGTACTCAGAGTGGTGTAGTTGAAGGGATACTATTCCCATGTTTATGGAAGAACTTCGATTTATATAGCAGGTCAAAGTATGTGATAGATCACTCTCTTCTCTATAAGGAGAGCTCCTTAACATACAATCCTAAGATTGATAGCATTTCTAAATGAGTGCAGTTCCAATCATGGTGAGTCCCTCCTCTACACTTTGTCAATTCATTGACAACTGTGTTGTTTTAAAATTCCCACCATGGGTGGCAGGTGTGTAAAGAGGAGGTTCAACTGACCACCTCCAAAAGATGTGCATGGTCCAAGCTATCATAAATCCATGGACCAAATTAAAATCAACAGGATCAGCAAGTAACCTTTAAAATATAAGGAAAGATTTAGAAATAAATGTCAACTCATGAAGTTGAAGGACACCAATAAATTGTGATTCATGGATGTCTAAAAGACATCTATCTATCAGACAAAAAGCAGGTGTATGAAGAACCGGAATTTAACCCTCGAGGTATAATTGTATCGAGGTTGTGAATCCAGAATGCTTCCCTGCGTAGAAGTTGTAATTCCCTATTGCCCCCTCTGTGGTCGATCTGTATATGTTCAATGACCACGTAAATGTACGTCATTCACTGGAAGTGGTGATACCAAGAAAACGGCCGGCAATTGTTGTTTAAATACAAGTGATCTGGCGTCTGTACAGGCATCGGATCGCTTGTACGGTGCGGCGCCGTGTCCCCCTCTGGTGCCGCCGTCAGCTTCCCGGGCTCCACTGTCCCCCATGTGAGCCCAGGTCCGGAAGGGTGGGTCTTCCCTGATGCATCAGAGGAGAGATCAGCGGCTTCCAGCCACTGATCCCTCCTCCCATCACTGGACCCAGAAGTGATGTGCATTACATCACCTCCGGTGTCACTGGGCACATTCTTTGGCTTCTAGAGCCAGAAGAAGCTGGGGAAGCAGATCTCTGCTTCCTCAGCTTCTTTGGGGTCCGTAGGGGACTTTAGGGGCCTGAAAGACCCCGGATGTCTCCATAAAGAGGACCTCTCACATTATATTTGCTATTACATAGGGTGCTTGTTAACCCCATATGTGATGGTAATAAAGTGTAAAAAAATAAATGGTAAAAATGAACAGATAAAAATAATTAAAAGGGAAGCAGGGATGAGGGGGGGGGGGTTTTCCCTTT